CCCACCCCATGCCCCACCCCCTCCCTGCCCCTTCCAACCAGCAGCCCGGGGCCCCTGGGCATGCCACAATCCCTGTGCAGAGAGGTGGGTGAAAAGCCCCACTCCTGGCCTGCCTGGGAGTGTGAACTTTATCAGAAAGCTCTAAACTGCCAGGCCAGCACCTGAATATTTTATGCAGATTACATCAGGCCTGATTCATTAGGAATTTCATTAGGAAGCCATCAGGGAAATCTAATAAATTAGCTGGATGATGATGAATTGGGCTAATAAAAGGTGTGCTTTTTAGAAACGGGCAGTTGTAGAAAAACAAAGGACCGGCATTTTTATGTTTGGGAAGGGCAGGTAGGAGGAGAGAAGCAGGGGGGCGGGGGGGGGGGAGGGGGGGGAAAGCATCTTGAAGATATTTCTAGTTGCCATGACCAGACTTTCCCAAATTATTCTCCTCCCCTTCCCCCACCCCACGCCCCCTCCACTGTGCCATGCTACAACTTAGCCCAGCAAGATCACAAAGAAAAAATTAAGCTGAAACAAGCGAACTACTGGGCCATTTACTGAGAGTAATCCAATTGCAAAAAACCCTATTCCCAATAGAGGATTTTCACTAAAATCCTACAACAGGGACATTTAACCAGATTAGGTACCAGGGAAGATAAAGAGGCTAGTATTAGATGATGAATGGATTAGAGTCAAGTTTCATTTCAGAACGTGTCTTCATTTCCTTTTATTACTTTTAGGAGGGCACAACTTGCATTAACATCAAGGAAGAGGAATTGCATGAAAAGAAAAGTGAGGGTCTCGTGCTGCTCACTAGCGCCTCCCGAGTTCAGGGACCACCACGCAGTTAGTTCTCATCTTTTTTTTTTTTTTTTTTTTGGTAAATAGGTGAGGAAGGGGTACAACATAGAGTATTTCCTACCACAGTTCATTGTGGGGAAGGCATCTTTAAAAAGTGCTTCTCGCTTTCTCATGAATATGTTTGGAAAGAAAAATATGACCTTCTTGATGCTCCAGAAAAAAGAAAAACAACTACAGAAAAAGAGGCCGAGCCTTCCCACAGCCTGATTTAATGAAGTCTATAAACAACTGGACACTTTGGGAGAAAGCGCTAGCTGGTGGCTCACAGGAGCCTTGCGTTGTGAGTTATCAGTGTGCAGTCAAAGCACTGAAAATAATAAATAAATAAATAAAAAGCACCGACATTAAAAATGCCAAAGCAGAGGGGAGCTTTGGAACTCAGTAATACATCCTTCGTCAGCAGCCCTGATGGTCTGGACAGGCCAAAGGCAGTGGAAGGAGAGGCCGCTGCCCCAGGGCTCACGGGTGCGCACTGAGGAGTTCTTTAGGGAATGCTGTTGTTTAGTAGGACAGCATGAGAAGTAACCAACAGGCAAGCTCCCACTGTGTGCTGGGGTGGAGAGGGAAAGAACATGGAGGGGCAGGGAGGGAAAGGGACCGCCATGGTCACATGAAGCAAAGACCATTAAGAGGAGAGGAAAAGGACTGTTGCTGCCTTCCCAAGTTTTCTATTTGGTTGGGAAGATACACACCCGCTGAAATGAAAGAAAGCAGGCCAGTCCCAGACAGTTTAAAGTAACTGCAGGAAAACCGTGAAACCAGAGGGAAGAACGACAGACAGCCCAGGAGGGGAAGGAGGATGGTCACTAAGAGCTGGAAGGACTTCCAGGGAATGGACTACCGTACACAATGGAAGGAAGCAAATGTATAAACCCGAGAGCGGCGTACAAGGGCTGGGAGTGGGCAGCGAAACTGGCAATTCGAGTTAGGCATCTCTCAGGATGCTTATCACCAATTCAGATCCCTGATCCCAGGAGATCTTCCGGTACAGACCTGAGGAAGTCTCACCTGGGTCCCACTGAGTGCCATGATCCCTTGACCAGAGAGCCAGGCAGGCACAGACAAGCACACAGGTCCTAGGAGACCTGTCCTACTCATCAATCAAGTCCTAGTGTAAGAGTAGCACAAACCCTCCCACAGGTAAGCACAGGAAGGGTGGCTCACTACACTGTTACTGTTACTGTTACTGTTACTGTTACTGTTACTGTTAGGGAGAAGCTGCCCGATGTCGTGGGTTTTTGCTGTGGTACGAAAGTGCCCATTGCACAGCTGTCTTTCAAGCAACACTAACAGGAAATGAGGGGGAAACCTTTCTCTGTTTGTCTGGCAAAGAATAAAGACAGCTTTTGGGCAACAGTGGTGTTATTTGGACGTATGCAGAATTTAAAAGTTAGCCCGGCTGGTGTGGCTCAGTGGTCGAAGTTGAACTATGAACCAGGAGGTCACGGTTCGATTCTGGGTCAGGGCACCTGCCCAGGTTTCGGGCTCGATTCCCAGTAGGGGGTGTGCAGGAGGCAGGAGATCAATGATTCTCGCCATTAATGTTTCTCTCTCTCTCTCTCTCTCTCTCTCTCCCTCCCTCCCTCCCTCCCTCTTCCCCTTTCCTATCTGAAATCAATAATAATATGTTATGTTATCAATATTATGTTAATAATATTATTATGTTAATAATAATATGTTATCAATAATAATATGAACTGGCTGCCATCACCTGAACCTAGCCAACTGTTTTTTTCCTGTTTGGTCTAAACTCGAAAGCATAGGGGTGGGAGTGAAGGGGATTGGAAGTATTTTATTTATATATATATATATATATATATATATATATATATATATATATATATCTTTATTGATTTCAGAGAGGAAGGAAGAGGGGGAGAGAGATAGAAACATCAATGATAAGAATCATTGATCGGCTGCCTCCTGCATGCCCCCTACTGGGGATTGAGCCCGCAACCCAGGTGTGTGCCCTTGGCCGGAATCGAACCTGGGACCATTCAGTCCGCAGGCTGACGCTCTATCCACTGAGCCAAACAGGCTAGGGCAGAAGTATTGATGGTGCCTTTCGGAGGGAAAGCAGACATGGTGCTATTTTCTGACCCTACTTGCCTACCAGGCAGCTCATTACAACACAATGTAGCCCCAAGTCTCTCCAGGTTGACTGGTTCCCAAGCAAAGCAGGGATGTGGTCATAGATGCAAAAGCTAGGGTCTAACTCCCATGGGCCTCCTGCACCTGGGCTGCTTTGACAAGAGGATGTTCTTCCTGAAAAAGCCTCGTCTCTCCAGCCTCAGAACCCCAGCGTCTCTTCTTCCTGTGCTGCCTTACGCCCACTGCTGGGGTCATGTATGTACCTCTCTTACGCTCCTTAAGCACAAGGACTGTGTCTTCTAGAACTCTGTGTCCCCTGTCATGCCCAGCCTGTGCGAGTGCTGAGCACAATCTCACAAATTGCACAAGAACCATCAAATTGCAACTGCAAGTATTATAAGAAGAGAAGACAGAGCCAACCTCACAGATCTATCGCAGCCAATGAGAGTGCTCTCTACATGGAGTCTATGCAGAATCATGGCACAGAGGTAGGGGAGGGTGGGAGGGGGGAGGCAGGGGGGGGGTCGCTTCAGAAACCACCCAGCCTAACCCTTGTTCCCACAGGGCCTTCTGTGGTTTTAGAGCTCATCGCATGCCCACAGTGACCAAGATAAATCCGTGAATTCAAGGAAGACCTGGTTTAAATTCTACATCACCGGATTAGCTACACAACCTCTCCCAGGCCTCCGTTTCTCTGAGAATTCCAGGTGGGAACTGTACCTACCTCAGAGAGTTGTAAAAATTAAGAGATCCTGCATGTACAGTGCCTGGCACAGAGCTGCACATGCAACGCAAAGGAAGCTTTGACAAACATCACCCCGTGAACAGTAATGATGAGTAATGTGGTCATAGATGCAAAAGCTAGGGCCTAACTCCCATGGGCCTCCTGCACCTGGGTTGCTTTGACAAGAGGATGTTCTTGTCTAATGAGGAAGATGAGGCTCACTACCCCTCCCGTCTCTTCTCATTAGATTCACGGGGAACACGCAGCCACAGACGGTGGTGCTTACTGCAAAGAATGCTCAATATGGGGCAAGAGTGTATGCAAGTTTTATACCATCTATCTTCAGGCGCCCTTCTTAAAAACGTGCTATTCAATTAAAAATGTATGTATTTCGCCTTAACCGGTTTGGCTCAGTGGAAAGAGCGTCGGCCTGCGGACTCAAGGGTCCCAGGTTCGATTCCAGTCAAGGGCATGTACCTTGGTTGCGGGCACATCCCCAGTAGGAGGTGTGCAGGAGGCAGCTGATCGATGTTTCTCTCTCATCGATGTTTCTAGCTCTCTATCCCTCTCCCTCCCTCTCTGGAAAAAATCAATAAAATATTTTTTAAAACTGTATGTATTTTACGATCTCCCTTGGAAAAAAAAAGTCACTTTATTAAGCTAATAAATAAGACTGCCACAGAAGAATTGAAGGTGGAATAAACAGTTCAAGATGACCAAGATCCTTCCAGCATCAGGGTGAGGACCCTGAAGTCTGAGCTGATAGAAATGAAACACACAAACACCCACCTTCTCTTCAAACCATTCCCACTTTTAAAAAGGTCTTTAAGAACTGGGTTCAAAACTGTATCGC